GGTCTTGTACCTTGAGTAATGTGTATTCTTGGTGTATATTTGGAATTCTTGTTGTATATTGTATATCTTGTGTGTATATATATTGTGTATATATCTTGTTGATATATATTGTGATATATCTTGTGTGTATTTATGTTGTGTGTTTCCTCACCAGGTTGCGTGGCTGCCTTCACCATCGTGGAGCTTTTCCTCTTGGTGTGTTTGATCGACTGAACCAATCGCATCAGAGGGATGTTGGTGCTGGTGGACGGACTGCAGGGAACACACACACAAAACACACACACACACACACACACACACACACACACACACACACACACACACACACACACACACACACACACACACACACACACACACACACACACACACATCAGACATCATACAGAGGCCCAATTCCAAACCACACCCTACCTACTTACACCCAGGTAATCCTAAATTAGAGAATTGAGGTAACCATGAAGTTGTTAACATCTGTATGACGATATTAAATGTCTATCTTGTTGTGCAGTTTAATGAGGGGTAGTGTGTAGGGGGCGGTTTGGAATTGGGCCTATATCAAAGCATCTTTTAGGCCTTAATGGGCAATAAGTAAAGAAAAGGTATATCAATATATACAAACATCAGGTTAGAAGCTTCCAAGTTCCCCCTCTACACTTTCAACCATTATCCAATTAACGTATTATTAATCTGACAACCAGATGCACATGAGTACCGCAGAGCATCATGGGTAATCCAGGGTTCTTGTACCTGAAGGCTCTGATGGTCTCGTCGTCTTTCTCTCCGTCGGTGCAGTTTCCCTCGATGAAGAACAGTTTGTCGTCCGTCTCGTCGAGGCTGTGTTCGCTGTTAGCATCACTGTTAGCATCGCTGTTAGCATCGCTGTTGTCCACCTCCATCGTCGCCTCCGAGTCCAGACTGAGACTCGCTGGCTCTGAAAGAAACACACGAGAAATATGTTTGGTGTATTATAGTGGGTTTACACATACAAGGAATATGCATTGGTGTTTATTCGGGCACACCTAAGCGCAGTAGGAGAAATTAAAGATGGAAAAAGCCGAGGAAATATAACAAAAAAAGTGGAAAATTACAAATATTTATTAAATAAAAAAATAAAAAGTGTGTAAAAAGACCATTAATTTACAAAAAAAAGCCATAAATAGATGATAAATTACTGGGAAAGAAAGATCAGTATATATACATTAACTATTCATTTTTAAATATATTATAAAATTAGTAAAAATGTGGAAAAGACAAAAAAATATACAAAAAAAAAGAAAATAAAAAAAAAGTATATATGTATATTATAACATTTTTAAAATAATAAAATACGTTTTTTAATTAATATAATATTCAGTAGATCTCACCTCCGTTGAAGTCCACCTCCCCGAGGCAGTCTCGAGGAACTTTAGCCGCACATCTCTTATGGCAGTTAAATTTACAATCTGCAGCAGAAGAGAAACAGAGAATTAAAAACAGAAACGATGGTATATCTGTACTCGATGTATTAATCAATTAATCAATCAATAAAATAAAACTTTATTAGAATTAGAATTTGGGTTTTGTGAAAGTTATTCCATTAAAGACTTCAACAAAATAAAAGTTTTTTTGTAGTAAATATACATTTCATGGTATCACTTAACCAATCAACCAATCAATACAATAGCAGTCTGTTCCCCTGTCATGTTATAGCTCGTAATCACAACATACATGATGTAATTAATAAAAAGGGTTAAAGTACCATGTCTCTCTTCACCTGTCACGTGATCACTTCACAAATTAATTAATAAATAAATACATTTAAAACATTTTTTTTAATGAAATAATATAGCGAACTAATTAGCAAAAAATACATAAATACAGTTAAATGAATGTATCTAGAGAAAGCCAGATTAACTTGATACATATTGTTCCTCCTGAGTGTCACCTTTGCACTGCATGCCCTGCCTGAAGAGCCCCTTCAGCAGCCTCTTGCAGAGCTGGCAGATGGTGGGCCGGGTGTAGGTGTGCACGGAGAAGGTGTGCGGCACTTTGACCCGGCCCAGAACCATCTTCTCCATCCAGATGGGACGCCCGCTCAGCAGGGAGTCCCGCTTCACTGCGCCCAGCAGGGGGCGCTGGAGAGAAGATGTTCAATCAATCAATCAATCAATGCTTATTTATATAGCCCAATATCACAAACGTTACATTATACGTCTCAGTGGACTTCACAGTTTGTACAGAATATCGATACGACCCCCTCTGTCCTCGGACCCTCACATCGGACAAGGACACACTTCAGAGAAAAGTAAACAAACTACATTTTATTATTACAGTATACTTGTTATCAGAGGTGGGAGCAGTACTAAAAGTAGAAGTACTCAGATATTGTACTTGAGTAAAAGTAGAAGTACTCAGATCTTGTACTTGAGTAAAAGTAGAAGTACTCAGATCTTGTACTTGAGTAAAGTAGAAGTACTCAGATCTTGTACTTGAGTAAAAGTAGAAGTACTCAGATCTTGTACTTGAGTAAAAGTAGAAGTACTCAGATCTTGTACTTGAGTAAAAGTAGAAGTACTCAGATCTTGTACTTGAGTAAAAGTAGAAGTACTCAGATCTTGTTCTTGAGTAAAAGTAGAAGTACTCAGATCTTGTACTTGAGTAAAAGTAGAAGTACTCAGGTCTTGTACTTGAGTAAAAGTAGAAGTACTCAGATCTTGTTTGAGTAAAATAGAAGTACTCAGGTCTTGTACTTGAGTAAAAGTAGAAGTACTCAGATCTGGTACTTGAGTAAAAGTAGAAGTACTCAGATCTGATACTTGAGTAAAAGTAGAAGTACTCAGGTCTTGTACTTGAGTAAAAGTAGAAGTACTCAGCTCTTGTACTTGAGTAAAAGTAGAAGTACTCAGATCTTGTAGTTGAGTAAAAGTAGAAGTACTCAGATCTTGTACTTGAGTAAAAGTAGAAGTACTCAGATCTTGTAGTTGAGTAAAAGTAGAAGTACTCAGATCTTGTACTTGAGTAAAGTAGAA